AACTATTGTGAAAAACATCAGTTCTGACACACAACAGGCAGCTAATACCAACTCACACATCTTTGATGATAATTATCCTTATTAACCTTCAGCTTTGCATTTTGTTCCCAATTTATCAAGTTGAAATGTGATTATAAGGGAGTAACAGAAGTATTAGGAGCTCCAGTTTTATAAATACAGGTTCATTTTGTGTTTAATTTAATTCCTTACTAACTTCCAGGCAATATACTTATGCTGTTTTTTATTTTAGATGGACAGCATACATTTATAATTAAATTAAAAGATTAAGTAAAAAAGCCTTTATTCCAGTTATTGTATGTTCCACTTTTGGACAATCATCAATACTTTTGACTGAGAGGGGAGCCATGGTACGGAAACATTGCACAAATGGGAACATAAGCCAGAAAAGGTTGGGAAAAACTGATCTATAGGGCCTACTCTGATTCCTAGGGTTGGAATACACTTTAACTTTACCGTTGTAATTTTAAATAAATCTGTTACTTTTCTGCATTTGGCCACTTCCTCCCCCTCCAGTGCCTTTCTTTTCTTGTCTCTCTCCCTCTCCGCGCTGCCTTTCCTCTTCCTTTTGCCATGTTCTAAGCAATGGACTCAGTCGTAAGGGCTGGTCCTGCAGCAGCGTGTCGCATTGAGCTTGTCGCAGATATTTTCGATTTATGCCCAATATTGAAGCATGGTCTGTGCTGTTATTCCACGCCACAACGCAAGAGGGACAATCGTGAATTAGCTGTGGGTCTAGATACAGCCGAGGCGGTGAGGAATTGGGGGCAAGTTTGTGTGACAACGGAGCGACATGAGGGCGAAAAAGAGACGGTATTCAGGAGGAAAAAGGGTCCCAGCTTTCTTGCACACCTCGCTCTTCTAGCTGGTCCAACTTCATGAGTCGTTTTCCATAAAAGCGGTTGTACAAACAAAACAAGCCAGTAAGGTACCAAACAGGAAATACGCATAGTGTAGAGCGGATGTAGATGTGACCGACCAGACATTGTGTCTGCAGCACTGTCTGCGGTCACCTACAATTTGGATAGGTTTCTGAGTATAAATCAGCCTTTATTTGTTTATTTTTTTTTTATTTTACATACTCTAATAATCCCAGAGGGAAATTACTTCTCTGCATTTAACCCATCCCCTTGGGGAGCAATGGGCTGCCATTGTGCGGCGCCCGGGGAGCAGTGTGGGGTTAAGGGTCTTGCTCAGGGACCCAGAGTGGCAGTCTGTGGGAGTGGGGGATCAAACTCCCAATCTCAGGATTCAAAGCCCTATGTCCTAACCACTAGGCCGCCACGCCCCCTTTATCCTCACTTGCACCACTCGCTAGCTACACACACCACAGCACCAGTCACACACACCTTCCTTTACACGCTGCTTTCTGTGTCCCTCAAAAGCTCCTGGCCAAAGTGGCCTGTTCTCTCCCTCTCTGTGACAGTTGCACTGTCGCTGCACTGGCAGACAAAGAAAAAAAAAAAAAAAGAGAGAGAATGACGCCATACCAGGCCAATCCCAGGCCGGCGCCTCAGGAATACTCCTGATTCTCCCTATGCCCAGTATGCCCTAGGCCGTCCAACTCAACATGACACATGGGTGCAAGTGCAAGTATTAGGCTTAGGATCTGAATGGATCAATCCATAGCATCAATCCATAAGCAGCTGTGATAATAGCTGGTGATTTTAATAAAGAAGTATAGAATTAAAAGCTGTTGTTTTCCACATTCTACCAATGTGTAGTTTCCCACCAATGAGAGCAATGCATTAGACCATATTTACAGAAATATTAACTTCAGAGCAGCACTTTGTTCTCACCTTGGATTGTTGCACCTGACAAAGTAATAACGGATGAAGTGAGATCTATATTGTTTGAGCTCGACTTAAATAAACATTAGCTGAACACAGGAGCAGCAGAGGTGTTGGACACATCTAGACATACTTTAGTCGATACGCTTCAGGAGTGTCAAAGATGCACTGAAGGCGCGTCAGTCATTAATGTATACAAGCATAAAAAATGAAGCAGCAGAAACTTTTTTTTGCTGCTTCCGACGCTTGCGGATCCAGCTGGGTGAGGGCAGGCTGGAGGGCAGAGCAGATTGTGTCCTCTGTTTTGCTCTGCATGCCAACTGAAAGGGATCCAGGGTGGTTGGAGGTTGGATTTGACATGAGCCATTACTAACCATTCCAAACACTTTTTGATAATAAGTGCCAGTGCTACTGGAGTCATTGAAGCAGGATGGAGCAGATTCCTTTGGCATTTGTATGATGGTGGCAAACTTCGGCCCTTGCAAGAACTTTAATGTAGGGTAATACTCGATAGGTTCATAGTCAGCAAACCGGGGTTGGTTTCAGAGTTGGAGCCCATGAGGAAGTGAGAAGTGGGAAGGGCTAGATTCTTACGCAATCACGCATCACATCTCATCTCTCTCTACCACCATGAGAACGACCCAGGTTTGGATCAAAGAGGCATGAGTATACCCACAGGACTGGTTTAAAGTTGTTTGAAGGTTATTAATAAAGGTCATTGATCTGTGTTGACACCTTAACTAGCTTCTTTGCCTGCTTTGACCTTCCAAGCAGCTGGACATTATTTATTTGTTGAAGGTTTTTTATTGTGTGATGAGATTCTTCTTAGAATCCCAAAAGCATTTTAGACTTTCTTTAATCTATAATAGATTTTGTCTACTAATTCCAAGGTTGTCTAACTCGTGGCTTAAGGTGTGCTGCTTGAGGGTCATCGAACATGCATTTTTTCTTTTTTAATCAGAATCAGAATCAGAAATACTTTAATAATCCCAGAGGGAAATTACTTTGTAACTGCAGCATGCTGCTTTCGCGCATGCGCATCAATGAAAATAAACCCAGAATGTTTATCACAAGGGGATTTAAAACCATCCAAACAATAGACTCAATTTTTAGGTCTGTCTGGTTTTCGGCTCTCACTCAGACAGGGTTCTGTTGGTTTATGTTTCTGTCGTCTGTTGTCTGTGTCAGCCTTTTGTCCTGATCTGCTGTTATTATAGCAGACACACACACACAGACACAGATTAGTGTGTTTTAATGCTGGTTTCAGTCTTTGTAGCTTATGCAGTTGTTACATATGCCTTTATATTATATATTAAATATTAACAATTTGTCCAGTCAGTTTCACATCTTCAAAAAAATCCTAGAAACACTCAACTCTACTGTGGCTGCATCACTTTGTTCTCTCATTTTACCCTGTAGGCAGTCATTAAAGTGATACCTCACATCAAAATGATTAACTCAGACTTTATAACAACCATATAAACACAGCATCCCAGAAAAGTCCAGAAAAGTCATTTTGCCAAACCTTAGATAGTTTCTGCAAGTACCTACCTCTCCGATAGCTCAAAGGGTTCTAGTATTGTGCTACACATATTTATGCCAGTAGCTCACTTTGGTTGCATACAAAGGTATTCTGATTAAATAAGTGCACCATGTTGGCTAGTTGTATTTTTATCCTGTACTTTGTAAAACTTTGTTTTTAGCCTATATGTTAGTAACCAAAGGACGTGTTCATATTTACCAAAACAAGACCACATAGTCAGAAGTGTCATACTGCACCTAGAGGGGACAATGAGATGTTAGGTGGCTGCAATGGTCCTTTAATTTGGTAACCAAGTGATATAAAACCAAAAAAGAAAAACAAGCAAACAATTAGAGGAAATGCATTAAGTCTGCAATGTCCAGCAGTAATGAAAAAAGTCCAAGATAAAATGTTGCAAACTACAAAATAATAAATAAACAGTGTTGGGCACATTACTTTGAAAAAGTAATTAGTTATAGTTGCTAGTTACTTCTCCCAAAAAGTGAGTTACTAACTGAGTTACTCCACAATAAAAGTAACTAGTTACTAGTAAAAGTAACTATTGCGTTACTTTTGCTTTCTCGCCCCCGTAACCCTCGCCTATAAACCCCGTCAGATAGCNATATCAAAAAAGTACTCCAGAGTGTTGTTCAGCATGGGGGTGAGTAGAAAATGAAGGCTAATCATGTTTTGGGTGTACTATTCCTTTAAGGGACGTGTGGAAAAGAACAAAGAGCTGTTTGCTTTCAGAGGAAGGAGTAGACACGGCTGTCAGCGACCAGCTTTCAAGCAAACCTTTGTGTTTTATTATTATTAGTTTAAATCAGTATCACTGGCGATATTCTGCTATAACATGTGAAGGGAAGAATAAAACAGTAAATCTCAACTTTCATACATGTAAAACTTTTCAAATTTCTCGATCAGTCTGATGTAATTGAGGCGGAGTTAACTCCGTTTGTTCTTCCTACTCCGTGCGCGCTCCCGATGAGGGGATGACTATTTCGCAGGTAGAACTGCCTGTGCGCCACACCTATGCGGATCAGGTAATGACAGGGCGCACCGTCTTCTGCAGTAAACTGGGCGCTGTCCGTCAGTATCTGATTATTTAAGGCTAATATTGCCAGATGGCTGCGGAGGCCATTTAATAGGTTTAGTTAGGAACCAATGATAGCAGTTTATTTATTTTCACTAACGCTCTGCGGTCGTCTCTTCCTTTCAGCTCCACCTACTTCCTCCTAGAAGTCGTTGAAGGTAATCTAACTAACTTTATGTTGAATATCCCCTCTGACTATAACGGAGATCTAAAAACGATTGTTTACATTTAATTTAAGTTTTTAAGTCTTAAGTTTTTTGTTTGTTTTTTTGTCCTTTGAACTTTAAGTTTAACTCACTGAGCTTCAAATAATGGCTGCTGCTCTAACGCTCCTCCTCATCAGGATTCTGCTGATCTTCAACTCCTGCCTGGTTGTTTTTGCAGGTAGGTAAAAACTTTGATAATTACTTTGACAGACAACTGACCAGGGGCGGATCTAGGATTCCAGGAGATCAGGGGCTCAGCCCTGAGGGTGAAGATTAGGGAGACTTCCCGTTCTAATATAAAATATGACAGATAACTGGATTAAAGAAATTTCTGCTATACTTCATGCTATCACACACAAGAATTCCCCCTCCATAACATGGGAAGAAATTTATTTACCTGCAAGTCTTTAATTGTGTTTATTTATCTCTTCATCAACAACAAATGATTTTTGGTAGCATTTGATCATTATTTGCCAGAGTTATGAGGGGGGAACCATATATTTTAGCTCACTGAAATAATCCTTTCCTCCTCCATAACATCAGATTAAATAAATGTACCTTCAAGTCTTTAACTGTTTATTTCTCTCTTCATCAACAACAAACTCTGTGGATTTGGGGACATTTGATCATTATTTGCTGAAGTTATAAAGTTTGATTTTAGCCACCAGATATAATCCGTTCCTCCCAGCACATGGGGGAAAAAAAAAATCCTATAAATTTGGAAACTTTGATTATTTTTCTATATTATGTTTGAAACATTTATTGTATATTTTGAAATCCAAAATAATGAAAATAAATATGACAGTTAGTTGAAGGATCTTTATGAAATGTATTTTTAATAGGGCTCGGGATCCACGTTGCATTGTGGGACGTCGC